GGAATTATCAATGAGGTAGATCTGAGGAAACTTCCAACGAAGAATATGGTGCGAGGTTTTTCACTGCAATCTTCTGCCAGACTACCTAGTCGTGAAGTTTGTATACAAAGTAAGCAAACTGTGAAACCATTTCCAAAATTTTCAGAATCCAGACGGACTAAAATATTGGAGCTTATCCATTCCGATAGATAATATTTATTTGTTCTCTGAAATCAGAGCCTAATAGAAATTTGCGGTCCAATGCGAACAAAATCAATCGACGGAGCATTATATTTCGCAACTTTTATTGATGATAAGTCAAGATGGACTGAAATATTCTTCCTGAAGACCAAAGGTGATATGAAAAATGCACTCCTGAAATTCAAGACATATGCTGAAACTCAAAAAGAAGCGAAGGTAAAGATTCTCAGAACCGATAATGGTTTAGAATACTTCGGAGCTGAATTCACAAAAAATTTTAACGAATGTGGTATAAAAAGGGAACACACTGTAGCTTACATGCCGCAACAAAACGGGGTAGCAGAAAGGATGAACCGAACTATCGTCGAAATCGCCAGGTGCATGATCCTGAAATCTAACCTACCTCAACGTTTTTGGGCGGAAGCTGTGTTAACTGCTGTGTATATCAGGAACAGAAATCCAACGAGAAGTCTGAAAGAAGATGTAACACCTTTTGAAGTATGGAATAATTTCAAACCAACTGTCAACCATCTTCAAATTTTCGAAAACAAAGCTTATGTTCTCAATGAAGCTCCAGGTAGGGGAAAATTCGAACCAAAATAAAAAAAAAGCATTTTTGTTGGCTACTCTGATGAATCAAAATCATATAGTCTGTGGGATCCTGAAAAAATTAAAATTGTAATCAGTAGGGATGTAATATTCGTCAAAGAATTCAGAACAGTTGATGAAAACATCAAAAATGGTCAAAATATATGATGTTTTATGAATTCGACGACGTTCAAAACTGCAAGAAGGAAGATTCAACTGATACAGATGAAATTCAAGAAAACCTTGAGGAAAATGAACATAATAAGGAAAATGAACGAGAAATCAATACAGAAAGTGAGTGCAATGAAAGGAGCAACATAGATATCAACATTGAAGCAAGTGGAAGTCATGAGACCGAGTTTAAGAGGGAGAAAGGAAGACCTAGTATAGTCAGAACGGGTTCCAAAGGTAGACCTAGGAGGAAATATACCATGGTTCAAATGCAGTCATCATCTGATCATCAAGCTCAACTCGCTGATGAGGATATTGCAGATCCCTCTGTAGATAAAGCTTTGTCTGGTCCACATGCAGAGGAATGGAAAAAGGCAATGCATGAAGAATTCGAGGCTCTTGTCAAAAATAAAGTATGGATTCTAGCAGAAAGAAAAGAAAATAAAGATGCCATTGGATGCAAATGGGTACTGAAAACAAAGTATAACGAAAACGAAGAAATCACTCGCAGGAAAGCTAGATTAGTGGCTAAAGGATATGCACAGAAGAAGGGAATAGATTTTCATGAAACATTCTCTCCTGTAGCTCGTCTAAGTTCCATAAGGATAATCGTTGCTCTCTCAGCTCAGTTTGGTTCAACATTGTATCAACTCGACGTTGTTATGGCCTACATGAATGGGGATTTGAAAGAAGGAATTTTCATGAAACAACCTGAAGGTTCCGTCCAACCTGGAGAAGAACACCTTGTGTGCTACCTGAAAAAATCATTATATGGCTTGAAACAATCTGGAAGACAGTGGTTCATTAAATTAGATGATCATCTACGTAATATTGGTATGCAATCTCTAGATGCAGACAAATGTATCTACGTAAGGAAAGAACGAAGCTATATAGTATTCATAGCTGTTTATGTTGATGACCTGATAATTGCTACCAATGACGAGAATATGTTACAGAAGATTAAACAAGATTTATCGAATACATTCCAGATGAAAGATCTAGGATTTTTGAATTATTGCCTAGGTATAAATTTCAAACAAGATTTTCAGACGAAAACCATATTTATGTGTCAACATAAATATATCGAGGATATTTTAATCAAGTTCAATATGAAAGAATCAAAGCCAATTTCTACTCCTCTTGATGGAAATGCAAAACTGAGTAAGAGCATGGGACCATCCACAGAAGAAGAGGTTGAAGAAATGAAAAATATACCATACCAGTCACTTATTGGATCATTATTGTATCTAGCAGTGTCTACACGCCCTGATATTGCATATACAGTCAGTTTTCTGAGTCAATTCAGCAGTAATCCTGGGAGACCTCATTGGATCGCAGCAAAAAGAGTGTTGAGGTATCTGAATGGAACTGAACAAGTAGGATTGTTCTTTGAACGGACAACTGAAGAATTACATGGATTCGTAGATGCTGATTGGGAAGGAGATCTCGATGACAGAATATCTTATACAGGATATGCCTTCAAACTGGCTGGCGCAGCTTTTACATGGGAGTCGAGGAAACAGAAGAGTGTTGCACTATCGAGTACTGAATCAGATTACATGGCACTCAGTGATACAGCGAAAGAAGTAACATATCTGAGAAAATTTTTACTGGAGATTGGATATACCTCATCAAAGCCCACAATGATTCATTGTGATGATCAAGGGGCACAGAAACTAATGAGGAACCCAGTATATCATTCTCGCACAAAACACATTGATATTCGATATCACTATGTACGAGAATCTTTTGAAAAGGGTGAGATGGATGTCAAGTATATACCAACTGATGCAATGGTTGCTGATATTTTAACAAAAGGACTATTTAAACCCGGCCATGACAAATTTATGACTGGATTGGGACTTCGTAGACTTGAAGAAGTAGACCAGAAATGAGAAGGGGCGTTGGAGAAGACATTTCTATTCTACACTTTGTATATATTGATAATTTCATGATCAAGTAACAACATGATTGATTTGTTTAATAAATAAATATACGTTTTGTCATCCAGACATCTTATAAAAAGTTATAATAAAACAACATAAAAACAACATATTACAACATGAATCAACAACCCTAATGTTTCATGTCTCAATGTTCAAACAGATTTGAAGCAATCATATTTTCAGGATTTGAAAATTCGCATTACTTTTTATTGTTTATCCATTTTTTCGCAGTTACCTCTCTGCCACTGGTTATCTGATTGTCTTTTCCTTCCTTCTCTCTTTTTCTTCATTTCCCTGTTACACTTATCTCTCTCATTTTGTTTCATTCTCTTCTCCTTCTTTTTCTTTGATCTGTTTTCTACATGCTCGGCTCTCTACTTCGCACAACTTTTCTTTTCGGATGTTATTCACCTCGAGATCTATGATGTCAGTTCGGCACATGTCACTCATCAATTCTGTATTTAGTGTCCGAAGTCGAAGTCATTCTTCTTTCATGAGTATCAGTTTTACAATTTAAGTTCCTCTCAGTACTGACGGCAAACTGATGTTCGTATAAAAACACAACTTTTCATTCTCTCCGATAAGTTCAACCTTATCATAACTAGTTTTTCTGGCTCGTCAGTAGATTTGAAAGAGATCTACAGATGTACAAATGCACCAGATCCTTCCAACCTGTTGACAAAAATAGTAAATTAAGTGCCATGATTTATTGTTTCATATGTCGAGTCCTATATTGTTTGGTATGTTGTGTCCTTATTATTGTCACATAATATTTGAGGTACCATTATCTGATGATGGCCGTAGTGCCGGAACTGATTACTTTTCACTGAAGATTTTTATATAAAGTGTGTTCGACCAACTTTGTGCTGCTCGTTTTTCTCTTGAAATTATATTGGATCACTTTGAGATATGACTGATATCCATGATCTACTCTATGAACTGATGAGAATTTGAAATCAATTATTTTGTTATTATTTTTCATTAAGTACCAAAACTTTCAAAAATTGTGGTTTTGTTGATCCTCATCATGATCGAAGAACTAGGTATGATACTAACTACTTAAATCATCAAATCATATTCCTCATCTTACTGTACTTAGCTGGAGAAAACACTATGAGCTCGCACTCACAATTCAAACTAATTCATTCTGAAACAACTTCTATGTGAACATCTATTCAGTGAATATTATAAGGATACCCTTAGCATACCTTGGATATTTATGTGAGGGTCAATGTATTATTGAAAACTCAGTATTCTCATATGGTCCACAGAATATTCAGTGAAGCATACATATTCTATTGGGGTGAAGATTATGATTGAACATTTGGAAATTAATATTTTCAGAATCAAATATGCAAACGAGTTTAACCGGTAGTTGAAATATATGTATGATAGGGAGATTCCTGATTGTTTCATTTTATTATTCCTTGCTTTGTCCCAGTTTCTTTTGCGATGCCAAAGCCATAGCACCCTCATGAAAAACAGTTCGAAATATTCTCAATTGACATATTATAAACTATGAAATACTCTACACGATTATTCGAAAATTGCTGCTATGTATGATTTATAACTCAAAATATGTGATTTTCTGTACTATTTTCATGTTGCCAGTATAACCTTGATGAAATATAACAATAAAAAGACATGTTCTCATTGAATATGGAATGTTACTGTACCCCATTCACAATGTTGCGAACTTTTCTTCAATAATTCATAATATTACTGAACGTCCGTTTCAGTGGTTGCTGCGTTCTTGCAGTAAACTGATGTTATATTACACATCACATTGAAATACTGCTGCAATATTGTTGAAATATTACTTTGCTTCGTAGGATCAATTTGACAACAATTTTGAGATTCATATTCTCAAGAAATATATACTATAGTTTGGAAATTTCAATGTATATTTTTGTTCGTGATACTCTGTTAGGCACATCTCTGTATATGAGTATCATCACCAGATCATAAAATTCCTGTTCTCAGCATTTTTTATTCTAATTTCTAGTTGGTTTTGACTGTCACTCAGAACTTGTACTACAAGAACCTATTTCAAAGACAAAGTCCTCCAAAATCAGAAGTAAAACTGAAGATACGTCGAATCCTGCATATATTCAAATGTTCCTGGATATGTACATGAAAATAACTAAGGTACGAATTTCCATCAGGTAACTACAAAATGATTCGGGTATTTTTTTTTTCAGCCGTCACGAGTTCAGAAGGAAGAGATCGCTCACAAAGAACCAAACTCTACTAAATCTTCTCGAAAAATCACGTGTAGGTCAAATAGTAAAAATTGTGAAGAAGAAAAAAAAAATGAAACCACTTGCAATCACAGGCAATACATGAACAATAATACAGAAGCAGATCAGAGTCTCCCAAATCATACCAATTTGATTTCTGATATAGATGAGTGTATGGAAAAAGTGGTTCGAGAAGCCGCTGAAACTAATGATAATTTTCGATTCATGGATGATAATTCACATATCATAAATGAAAGTTTTGATGATGAATCTCACAATACTATTACTAAAGAAAAAACGACCACAAAAAATGAATATTCATTTGAGAATAAATACAACCAACTAATTGGTATGAACAGTATACCAACGAACATTAACAGTGTTGTAGAAGAATCGGGCGATCTTCATTGTAATACTATTTTTGACAACTTCGAATATTTCCAGAAGAGCAGTGTAGAAGGAAGGAGTGATTTGGAAAGGAGTTTTCGCAAAAGTTTGAGCTTTGACAACATCAAAACATATCCTGATATAAACAAGAGTGTGAACAATGTTATTGACCTAGAAACTTCTGATTCTTGTTCAAAATCTGAGGTCAAATTTGCTAATGAAATAAGCTTCTTCATAACGAAGAGTTATACAAATAATACTGAATTGACACCTGGTGTGGGAGAAAGTACTAATAGAAGAGATACAGTTCCTATTGATTTTGACCAACTTATTAAAATAGAACCTGGGTTGTTTTCAATCAGTCAACGATACGCGCCTGATTCATCTGAAAAAAAAATGTTCAGCCCAAACAATAATACTCTCGAGTACCAGAACAATGATACCATGGAAGGAAATATCACTACCCAAAGAAGCAATTTTGGTCCACGGAATATTTTGTGCTCAAAAGAGAAACGAGAAAGACTGTTTGCTGATATTCATCCTGCAGAAAAGTTGGAGAGCAAAATATTTGTAAGTAACCTCGTTCATTTTGTTGCTTTCAGACTTGGGATATTTTTTTATTTTTTTCATCAATATTAAGGACAGGACTTATTATTGTGGCCCACAAAATAAATGATACATTCAATCCATTCAGGAACAATGGACGATGGTTCTTCATGCAGATAACATATGGTACAACTGATGAGGGTAATTTATACAGGACTTTTCAAGATGAGCGTTAGTTAGACGTTTCGGGCAAACCATATAACGATTAGATCTAAGAATTTTATGATATTCACAATGTGTCCCAGAACAACGTAGGTACCATATATTTTACAGAATGATAGAAACGATGATAGGTCGATTCAAATCAACTCACCTCTTTACGAAAACGAGAATAATGCACCGTTGAGCCGTGAGAGGTCGATGAAGAATAAAACCATTTCCAGATTCTCTTGAATTCTTCAAAATCCTTGAAAGGTACAACTCTGAAATTCGTATCGTAAATGACATACCGATCCAATCAATAAACAGGAAAGTAGTAATTTCGCATTCTGTTTGACAAAAATTGACGTAGCTTTTATGAAGTACACCACTATCACATTCTGAAATTTCTATCGATAACTTAATCGATCAATAAACTCTTTTTCAACATCTACATATTTTTGTATTCCAATTGTGTCTTTGGTGCTTTCCTCCGCATCTGTCGCTAAATTTTCCTTCATGTTTTTCCTCACACAGGTGAAATGCCAAATTGGTAGATGAAATCAGTAAGGCTGATTGATACTTAACCTGAAACCTTGAAGTGATAACATTCTGCATGCCATCAATGTATAGAGGTTCCCGAGATATTTGCGAAAAATGGAAGGACCCAAGTGTTTGCACCATAATCGCATAATATGCTGATCTTTGACTAGATATCAGAAAATGTCTCAACCTTCTCGAACATTTTTGGATGCTGAGATAATTGAAACCATAGTATGGTTGAATTAGGAGTATAGTTGCGCTGATTGTTTCATTGGAAAATTGAAAATTTGTTAATTTGTTAATATCTTCCCTCAGATATCTTTCTGGCGTATTGAAGCGGGTTTTACAGATATTATCAATCAATTACAACTCAGCCGCCACGTATTTTATAGTGGTAGGTCCATTTGCATTAGGCAACTCTCAGTGTACAAAGTGTAATCCAGGGATCTGATTTCTCAAATCGACTCTTTTTTTTCAATTCCTGGATCACTTTAGTTGCTCTGGTAGAAGAAGAATCACAGATTAACTGAGAACCATGTGCTATTTATTCAGACTCTCATTTTCAATTACTTATATACGTCAAATTCACATTTATTCACATAATGATATTCACAAACGACCCTGGACTCCTACCCCTTCATAGTCCCAAGTTACCATAATTCACTTCCTCATGAGACATGCGGTGTATCAAGGCACGCGGAAACAATTGTACTCCGTCGAATCCCAAATTGATACTAATAATTAAATACAATATATCGAATATAATTTCGAAGCTGCCTCTCCCGATCCTGTGATTCCTAGAATGAAATAAATGCAAGGACGGGTAAATACCTCGAAGCTCCAGATTTGTACAAGATCAAGGCTGCTCCTCCAGATCCTAAAATTCCTGGAATGAAATGAATGCGAGGAAGGGTGAGCACCTCCGGATCCCAAAATACTCTGAGACTAACAGTGGAACCAGGAAAACTCCTGCATGTTTCAAAATCCCTAATATCCCTTAGTGGTCGGCTCCTCTCTCTTCCACTGCTGGCTGGCCAGCTGGCTGGCTGATGGCTGGCTGGTAGGCTGGCTGACTTCGGGTCGGCGTGGCTGCTCGGCTGGTCGCTCTCGCTGCTATGATTTTACCTTCTATCATACAACAGACTAAATGAGTAATCCATAGCCCTGGCAATGCAGTTTGTTTAGAACCAACATTTAAAGTATTCATTTCATGCTCAACAAGGAATGCAACAGCAGATCCTCCCAGCAACAGTGGCGCACGATGGAAGGTGCTTGATATTATGATGAATTCGTGACCCACTTTCGTATCGCAAATAGAATATTCATAACTGTCTTTCACTGATCCTTTCGCATCCTTTTTTGGCAACAAATATAAAATGGATTTTTTGAAAACTACATTCATCAAATGTATTTTGTATTATTGTGATTATTATTTTCACATGTCAAGATGTGACGTTTTCGTTGTTCCAACCAATATCAATGCTTAAATCTAGCCAATCAACCGGTATCATACTGATAATTTGTTAGGAGCCAATTACAGCAATGATTTTTTCACGTTTGGATTTTCTTCTGAAAAGGGGCCTATTAACTGCGTTGTCGGTGAGATGTTTGGTTTGACGAACGAGTCTGTTCGAACAGAAATGACGCGAAACCGGAGTGTGCCGAAATACATTCGTGGTGGTTGTTGTATTTTATTATTCTAACTAGACTTTGTTGCTATTGAGGAATCCCACCCGTGGACTTCGTCTACTCGTGAGATTTGTGCATCTTGTCAAAATTATCAAAAAATCATCACCATTTCTATTGATGAATAAACATCGAAAATTGGAACACTAAATTTCACATTTTTACGAGCTCGTTGTTGTTCAACTCATGAACATGCAATAAGAATGTGTCACTTGACTCTATGAAAAATGAATTACTCACTATTTACCTATATCATATAAAAAATGGTATATAAACGATCAAATCTTCCACAGCCAGGTATCCCCAATATTGCAAGGGAATCAATAAAAAAAAATATTCAGAATATTCATAATACAAACCTACCCTTAAACCCGAGCAAGCACAATTGAAAGTTATGATAAATTTCGGTGAATAGCATTCATAAGTGCTTCTTCTCTGAAACAACATGAAGACAAGAATAATTTATTTCCTTTTGAGAAGCACTATTTCCATCAGCCAAGACTTCGATCATTCAATTCATTTGCCTCATGATAGAGAATTTCAATCAAATATTATATCACTACTGATATCGAAATGTTTGGAATATATCCTAGCTTGTTTGGAAATTTTCAACATTTCTGCATCTATAAAAGATACTCGGTGATATTTCCCAAATCACCATTAGACACTGGATATCGCATACAAATTATATAATCTTGATTTATTGGATATGTATTGCTTCAATCTCTTTTTGAGGAATCGATATCAAAATTTTTTATGATACGACACTGGCTGCTCATCTATGGAGTGACGTGGATCACTAGATTCAAATTTTCTTTCACACATCTCACAACTTCTCGCCATTGTGAAAAGTCAACAAAATTGTGATATAAACTCACAATAGCCAAACAAAACAGAACACAACTTCAGAAACTGAGAAGAATCCTTCCAAACGAAAGGTGAACAATGCAAAAAATTAATCGCTGTCCACTGTCACGGACTGTGAAATACCAAGAAGCGGTGTTGCAGCATTGGCTGAATATTATTGAAAATTCCCATTTTGTCAACCTGAAGCACTCGACAAGATGACCAGCATCATTTATGAATCACAATGGATTGATACTTCAGATTTGTTATTATCTCTCATTCGACTGATAAATAAATGCATGTGTTGAACTAGATTGATAAACAGATTTAAAGAATGAAGATGACGTGACAATGATTACTTGCAATTTAGGCGGCATGACAACACTGGCTGCGATTAGGAAGAGATAGTGTCACGATGAAATAGATGGTTAGTACATCCATATTGATTTGAAAGGGGTTAGCTTGACTTGCGAGAGGTGATATTCAAATAGGCACTGACAGTTCAGGGGTTACTGAAAGTACGAGAAGTTCCATGGTCAGTATTCATAGTTCAATGTCAATGAATAATTAGATTTTCCTAATGATCATGAAACCATCATGGTTTGAAATTACTGATATACCGTATATTCCACTCGTGACATGACTCCCCTCTCCGAGAAAAGTGGACCTTAGTTTTGAAATCACTACCTAGAACCTAAATCATTGAGGACAACATTTATTATTCATTCACATGTACAAAAAGTTTCAGAAAAAAATTATCCACAAACATTCAAAGTCGAGTGTCTTCAATGCACACTCACACCTTAACATAGTCTGGCACTGGCTATTCAACTGAAGCATTTCAATCAGACTTTTCTCGGTGAGACTTCAAGCGACTTGGGGTAGGAAATGACACTGGGCTTAAATCACAAAAAATATTTATTTCATAATTCGATAGAACTCACCCAAACTAGCTCAATAACGCAAACCGTTTCTTGCTGTGAGCTTCCTACGTTTTATAAATAATTATTGAAATCCCCGATTTTTCGGACCTCTGAAAACGAGGCGATGATGTGACGTCAGAACCCTAATACTCAAACAAGACTATTCCAGACAGGGATGTATGATACATGATTTCTGACAGAGTGAATTAGCGCGAGATCACAGTTGAAAGATTTAATATATCAGTTGCCTCAGTCTCCGTCGAGCGTTTGGTATTTTCTTTTAACTATGGCGAGTTAATTTTTTGATCAAATTATGTCGTCAATCATTATTTATGTATAAAAGGATCATTATAAACATGATTTGAGTTAAAAGTTCTACTAAGGTGTACACGCCCATTGGGCATGGCATTCTCCAACCGTCATGAGAATTCTGTTGGGCTCAAAGGTATCCTAGTCCTGGGAATCGGGATGAAATCTTTTGGGCCTAAAGATTTCCTAGACTGTCCTTCGAGGTAGTTGGCAGTTCAATAAAGGGAACTGCTGGCTTCTTGGGGTGAGGAATGACGACTGATGGTCACGGGATCCTTCGATCGTCGTTGAAATTTCGACAGGATCCTTTTAGGGCTCTAGAGGTATCCTCGTCCTGGGAATAAGGCTGTTAACTTTTTGGGCTCCAAAGATTATTGGAATTGTTCTAGCTTCAAGTTATCCTGGCTTCTCGTATTGGACTGTTTCTTGAGAGTAGTTGGCAGCTAAATGAGAAGAGTTGCCAGCTATCTTGGCAGTTGCTATGATAACTGGTAGTCCACTCAGTCCATGGGAGGAATG